TTATAGCATGAAAATTTAATACATAAATTATAAGTGAACTGTAAGTCTGTAATTATTTAGAATGATGAGAAAAAATTTTTAAGGATGTGTTTGTTTGAGGATTGGATTTTAAATACATTATCGATCCTATTTTTTTTCTTAAAAAATATCAAATCAAACACCTATTTTTTATTTTTTATATTATACTAAAAATTAATTTTACATCTAAAATATCACATCAACACCTATTTATATCACATCATACAACTATTCAAATTCAAAATTTTTACCATTCAAATCTCAACTCAAAATCCAAACTCCAAACAAACACAAGTAAATGACAGTACAAACTACAGACCAAAAAGATGACAATGATAATGTTGGGTTTTATTAAATAAATGTCCTAAATCAAGAGTTTTTTTAAAAAAGTAGACCTTAAAGTAGTTCTCAAAACTACTTAATTTTGACAAATTGAGGAGTTCTCATAACTCTTTGGTCATAGATTTAAGGAGTTATGAGACCTTCTTTTTGTAATAAATCATTTAATAATTTCTAACAACATTTTAAGGAGTTTTCGGAACTTCTTAAATTTACCACGAAAGAGTTTTGAGAACTTCTTTTAATTATATATTAATTTTTTTTCTTTCTTATTTTTTAATAATTCCTCCGTCTCCCTCTAAGGTCATATTTACTTTTTGCAATGTTGTACTTAACATTAAAAATATCATTATATTTGTATAAATTTTCTGTACAATTGTCCTTTTATTAGTAATATAATACATTAATTAAAGTATTTTTGCAATTTTTTTCTTAATGTGTATATATTTTGATATAATAATTAATATTCAAATATACACGGAAAAAGTAAATTGGACCCTTAGGGCAGGATGAAAATAGTATAATTTTTCTTTTGTTCATTATCTTCTTCCTAATGTAATTTAAGATACATTTCTTTGCTTTTCTTTCTTTTTTTTTTTAATCTAAAACATAATTTTATATTTGTTGATATTTTATTGCTAGATTTATAAAATATTAAAAAATATTTCATACACATTTATAACAATTTTGAATTTTTATTTTTTTTGTTAATTTTTGGATGATATTGATAGTTTTAATATAATGTAGATTTTATAAAAAATTTTGTTTTAAAAAAATTTTGTGTGTTCTTTAATGAATATAATATTAATAATTATTTGATTTTTATTTCTCTTTTTTAATAATTTTTATAAAAGTAAATCATAATAAATAATTTTAAAAAATTATACCTTATCTCATATTATTTTTAACCATAAAAAAAATATAAATATAAATATATCATACATATAAAGAGTTTTTAAGTAATTAGAAAAAATTTAAAATTTTAAAAATATAAAATAAAAATATAATAGTAATAATATTGCAGATCATATATATTTTACATATATATACTAATATGATATGTGTATAGATATAATTATAGCTCTTTTATATTTTTTTATTACTAGAAAGTAGAAATAATATAAGATAAAATATAATTTTACTAATAATTTTTATTATGACTTACTTTTAAATAAAAATTACACCATTAGTCCCTTTAATAAATTTATATTTATATTTTATGTTACTGTGCTTAATATTAAAAATATTTTTATATTTGTATAATTTATTATACAAAGATCATTATATTTGTTTTATAAAATAAATATATTTATTTTATCTTGATTTGTACTACTTTTGAATATAATAATTAATATATAAATATTAACATACAAAAAATAAATATCAACTTATTAAGTGGAGGAAAATAGTATTAAAAATAAAAACTATATATATAAACCAAATAATTATTAATATTATATTAATGAAAACAAAGAAACATATCATACATATAAATTGTTATAAATGTATATGGAATATTTTTTCAATATTTTATAAAACTAGCAATAAAATACGCAATAAATATAATTATATTTTAAATGAAGAAAAAAATTATCTTAAATTACACCAGAAGATGGGGAATAAAAAAAAAATTATTAAAAAATAAGAAAAAATAAATAAATTAATATGTATATGGTGTGTTCCGTTATGAGATTATATTCCAAATCTACTATTTATTCATTTTTTTCTCCAAAAACAGCAAATAAACACATTTTTTTTATATTATACTACAAATTAAATTTGCATTTAAAATATCATATCAATACTGTTGTCGTAAAAAAATCGCCACTGACGGCTTAATCGAAAAAGCCCGTCGGAATTGATTTAATTGTAGGGTTCCCCGGCCTCCTCAAGAAAATATCCGGGCTATCTCGCGATAACCGAGAAATTGATGAAAAAAAGAAGGTACAATATACAAGAACGAAGCTGACAATTAAATTGGAATTAATCAAAGAAAACTGTAAAAATCTGGAAAAAATTACAAGAAAATAATGCAGAGAAAAATTATGAAAAAAAGAAAAAAGATTCACGATGAATGGCCTCCTCTTCCTCTGGTTCTACCCTTGGATATTTATTTTGTTTTTTTTTTAATTCTGTTTGGATAAGATATTATCCCTGATTATTCTCAACAACTCCAACCACCTTCACTTCCACCTTCTTTCATCCGTTGACTGCTTCAAATTCACCAGGCCGGCTGGGTCCTTAGGCTAGTCAGGTCCGTAGGCCCACTCGCTGATCTGGACCTTCTGTTGGGCTGCAAACCTCGATGATTTGAGCTGCACTTGTGTTGGGCCGGTCCAATTAATTTTGAGTGTGTATAAATACATATTTATATCACATCATACAATTATTCCAATCAAAATTTTTTACTATTCAAATCTAACTCAAAATCCAAATTATCAAACAAACACACCATAGTTAAAAAGAAGTTCTCAAAACTCCTTTATTGTAGATTTAAAAAGTTCTGAGAACTCCTTAAAATGTTGTTAGAAATTATTAAATAATATACTTGGTCGATACTATAAATTGTCATTCCCATGTGGGAGACCATCTCCACAACTTCGCATCTTTGGGGCCTTCCAGGATGACGGCCTTCCAGACCATGTCACCTTTCCGAAAAGTCTGGGACCTCACACGCTTCTGGAAGGTTGATATGGTCTTCTTCTTTTGATGTCGAGTGCATTCAAGTGCCTGCAGTCTCTTTTCGGGCAAAGTGTCAAGCTCCTAGAGTAGGTCTGATCCTGCTATCCCATCGACAGCTGATTCATCTTCAAGATCCGGAGAGAAGTCACTGTAATCTCCAACAGAAGCACAAAGTCATGGCCGTAGATCAGCCTATAATGAGTGTTTCCGATTACGGAGGATTTGACATTCCGCTATGTCCATAAAGCCTCTTTCAAAGTATCATTCCAGCCCCTCGGGTTGTCCTCCATCGCCTTCTTGATAATGAAAATCAAGATTTTTTTCGTCGCCTCGGTTTCCCGTTAGCCTGAGGGTAATACGAAGTTGAATGGAGCAACTGGATTTTTTATTGAGCTGTAAAAGCCTTGACCTTCGTGCTCATAAACACGGTCCCTTGGTCGGTGGTTATCGTCTTTGGAATGCCAAACCTGTGAATGATGTTATTCTTAATAAAGAGTATGACATTATCATGTTGTACCTTGGCCAATGGAACGGCTTCCGCCCACATTGTGAAGTAGTCCGTAGTTACGAGAATAAAAGAATGTCCATTTGAAGATGGAGGATGAATCTTGCTGATGATATCCATCCACCCATGGAAAGGCCAAGGTTTGATAATCGAATGAAGTTCTTCTACGGGGACTTTTCAAAGTGGTCCATGTCACTGATACGCTGGATATCCCCGAGCATAATCCACGCAATCCTACTAGATTCGTGGCAAAAAATAGCCTTAACGGATGATTGTCCACTTCATAGGGGGTCCAGCCCTATGGGCACCTCCAATACCTTCGTGGACCTCGGCCATGACCTTCATAGCATCCTCGCGACCCAAGTAGTGTGCCAAAGTTCCATCGGATCTCTGTCGATACAGCTTTCCATCGATTGTGTATTTTAGAAGCTGATGGCGCATTGCCTTTAAGGCGACCTTCCCAGGGTCTATTAGACCTTCCAGCAGTAGAGTGCGCCAATCCAGGTCATGATCAGCCTGCAAACATTCAAATCCTTGCAATATTTCGCTTCTTTTAAATTCGGAAGCCCACTGCGCCAAGTCGTTCGCCTCTAAATTCTCTTCCCGAGGTATATCCTCTAGTGTCACCTTCGCGAGCTTCTGAAGAAGGTTCTGAAGCCGTGGCTCCCTGTATTTGAACTCTTTAAGTGCTTGACGAATAACCAGCTGAGAATCTCCTCGAATAACAACATTTTTGGTATCTTTTGCGACCAAAAATCGCAATGCTAATAGCAGCGCCTCGTACTCAGCTTAGTATTTCGTGACACTTTGGACTGGAGAAAAACACCATACTTATCCTCTTGGACTGGATATCACCACACCTGCTCCGGCTGCTCCCAAGGCTCCAACTCCACGTAGTCTAAAGGAATGGCCTGAACCATCCCCGAATGTTCGGCCAAAAGATCTGTACTAGCTTGTTCTTTCACGGCCTCAAGGGACTAGTACATTAATGCAAACAATGCTAATTTCAGCACCCATTTAACTAAACGGCCTCGGAGGACTGGCCTGTTTAATAAATAGCGAAGAAGGTCGACTTTGCATATTACTTCATCGTCGTCCTGGGCAAGGAGGCAGCCTATTGTATCGCCTATCGCAGCTATGTACAGCTTCAGCTCTCTTCTACTGATTGGCGGCATTAAAACCAGAGGAGATGCTAAAGCCTGCTTAATCTGATCCAGGGCTTCTTGTTGGGTTGTTCTCCACTTGAACACATCTTTATTCCCACGCAACGGCACTGAGAAGGCCCTCATTCTCCGCTGCGTTGGTGATGAATCTTCTCAATAAATTGACCTTTCCCATCAAGTTTTACAGCTCGTTAATGTTGTGAGGGGGCCCAAGGTCCTGGACAGCCTTGGCCTTATTCTTTTTTCAACTTCTACCCCTCTTTGATGGACCAAAAACCAAAGAAATTCCCTGCTTATACTCCGAAAGCGCACTTCGTCAGGTTCATCTTGAGGTCATGCAGTCTCATCTGCGTAAAGATCTTCCAAAGGTCTAGCATGTGGTGATCGAAGGCTCGGGACTTCACGACCACGTCGTCTATGTATACCTCCATGCAAGCACTGATCAGGTCGTAAAAAAATGCGTTTATCGCCCTTTGGTAGGTCGCTTTGGTATTTTTTAGGCCGACGGGCATTATTATCAATTTGAAGATTCCAATTTCTCCTGGGCTACGGAAAGCTGGATCTGTTTTCTTCACTATTTGAACAATGTTGGAAATCCACTCCGGGTACCTGCATATTCGAATAAAGTTAGCTTTAAGGAGTTTTTCGACCTCCTCTTTCACTTTCGACAGTACTTCCGGGTTGAAACGCCTAAGGGGCTGTTTATCGATACTCAACTATGTTCCTTGTAACCCCGACATCTCATGGTAATCCCATGCGAAGCAATCTTTGAATTCTCATATCAAAGCAATCATTCGCTCTTTCCTCTCGACATTCAGCAAGACACTGACCCGTGTCGCCCGAGGGGTTGTCTCATCCCCCAAGTTAATATCCTCCAATGGGTCCCACGCTTCGAAAGGTGGAGCAGCTCTTCGAATCAGCAAATGAACATCCTCTTCGTCTTGATCGTAATTAGGCGGCTAGGAGGATGTCCCTGTCTGCCCGTCAAGAGGTTGAGCGGCATGATTTCCAGCCCGTATAAATGTACAGTCAGACCTGTCTGCTCTCACCTCCAAATCCTATAAAATTAGGATGTCAGACATGATAAATACCTGAGTTATTAGGCCGTGCGTCGGCCTCGAATTTTATTTTGAACCCCTTCATGGTTAGATTGCATTTTTTCCTCATTTCAGCATCCTTCGGCATCATGGACAGCAGGTATACATCGAGGGAAAAATAAACAGCCTCTGTGAAATGCACCTCCATAGCTGGATCAGCCTTGGCCTCTACCGTCTCGACTTGGTCTCCGTTCCAAAACATAATTTTTTGGTGCAATGTTGAAGGGACGCACTGGGTAGTGTGGATCCAATCCCTCCCGAGGATGGTTGAATAAGTTAGCTTTCCCTCGTTGATGAAATAAGCCATTTGGTTCGTCGTTGTTTCAACCGTCACTTTCTCCGCCAACACATCTGCTACCGTGTACGCATTTCCGACGAAGTCGGTCGTTCACATGGTTGTCCAGACGAAATCATTTATGTTTTTCTTAATTTTTCCCAAAGTGGATAGAGTCATCAAGTTGACGGAAGCTCCCCCATCTATCAGGACCTTGCTGATCATCCGCCCATCAAGATGCACCGTGAGGAATAAGGGTTTCAACTGGCGCGTATTTTCGTCTGTCAACTTCTGAAAAATTACTGGTTCTGGACTCTCTTTCGGAATGTTGGAATCTTGCTCTACCAAATATAATAGACCAGCTCCTTCCAACACCACATCCCTCTGAAGATAATCGTGTTGAACCTGAGGGGCTTTGAATTCCCGAGGTAGCATCCCTATTATATTGACCTTGAGATCTTCTTCACAGTACGAAGCTCGTTCGAGGTCCTGGTCGGAGGCAATAATGTCCAAGCTAGCCTCCGTCGCTTCATTGCAATCAAGGTTATCGATCATCGGCTCACCTTCCGGAATCTGGTCTTTCCCGAGTGTCATAGTAAAGTAAGGTTCATTAGGGTGTTCAACCCTTGCAAGAACTCTTTTTGGTCTCCATTCCTTTCGGGCCTGAAGCTGGTGACGAAGGTCCTTCCGACCAAGCTTCGGCCTTCCAGCGATAGCTCCTTCTGAGCCCTGGGCCTGCTGCCCTCTGGCCTGACCTTCGTGATCATCAGCCTGCTGCACCCCAACCTGATTCTCTCGGGAAAGGTGAGCGGCTAAACGTTGTCGCTACATCCTCATTTTTTGAGTCCTAGTAGGAGGTCGCATCACATGCTCCTTCCGGTTCCTTGTCCAGCTCTCATCGTCTGGAGCCTTCCATGGGTGACAGGTTTGATGGGGTGTGATTACCACCTGATCTACGGACGTTACTCGCCAAACCTCGCCTCCATTTTCAAAGCTTACTTCCGCGATCGTATTCGTAGGGGAAAGTCTGTCCCACACCGAACTTCTTCTCGGAGGTTTGATCGACCTTCCAAGCCTCTCAAACACTGGTTTTTTAGGGGCTGTTCTCCTACCATATGCTCCAAACCCCGAATTTGACTTTTTGGACCTGGCTGGACGTACTCCGACAACGTTTATCGGCGTGGGGAACGGCTCCGTGTCTATTTTCAAGTCAGATTTTTCAGCCAGCTTAGGCGGCCTTCTTTGATGGCTTTTTGGACTGTATTTTGGAAGGAAATGCAGTTCCATGATTTGATGGTCATATACTCCATGCCACATACAAAATAAATTTCCATTCAGCTCCTCTTCGATCGGCATTTTGTGACCTTCTTTAAGGCGGAGCTGGTTATCTTTCAGCAAGTAGTCAAAAATCTGCTCCGTCTTCACGATGTTGAATGAGTAAGATACTTTCAGATTCACCTCATTCCGTCGAGGCGGCTTAAGAGCCGGGCATGTATATGCCTTCCCCTGCGAAATTTCAGCCAAGAAGGTCTCATCTTGCTCCTCGTCGACCTCGGCAACCCCTTCTTGGGCAAACACGTAATGATTACCACTCCGAAACTTTTGATTACGGGCCAGTTGAGCTTCTTTGAAGGGCTGCTCGGCCTTCACAGCTTTGGACATCGGCTGCCGAAAGTCGTGACATTCCTGAAGAGCCAAGCTGTCATGCAGCTGGTGCATCATGTTATTTATTACCACATTCACCACCTGGTCCTCTTGTACATGAACTTGGCATCTAGTTTATGCGCTACTTAATTTTTCCAAGAACTGCTCGATCGAATCCTTGCTTTTCCGATCGCCATATATCCTATGAATCGCATTTTCGATTACCTGTGGATTTATGATAGGATGTGGCAGCGGTACCATCTCTGCCTGCCCCCTTGGCTGTTCGAAAGCTGCCTGAATGGACGGCGGAGTGTGTAACGCCGGCTGCGGGAAAGCTTGTTGAGTAGGTCCCCGTTGTGAGAAACGAGCTCGAGGGCCTTCCGTAGGTTCTCTAAAGATTGGAACCTGTTGCAATGGTGTATTTTCAGGGGCTGGTTGGGCAGAATATTCGTAGGTTTGTTCCAGCCCGGAACCAGCAGCAAATCGACCTTCCCCAACAGCTCCCTGCCCCCTAGTGTATTGAGATGGTGTTAGGACTGATCCTCCTGGTTCCTAAGTCATTTCAGACGGCTTTGGGACCAAGAAAAGTGCTGGTATCGCTGTCGGCCCTGCCCCCCATGCATTGGAAGTCTCTTGTCCGGCCATTGGGTTTTTTCGAAGGCCTGGAATGGTGACTAGGGTGCTGAAAGTATTTCCAGAAATTAGCGGATTATTTTTCTTATATGGTACTGATGGGACTAACCCGAAGGTCGTCCCAAATCCGTCGGTTGAAGGCGGCCCAAAGGAAGCCATCCCGGCCGACGTTCGAGATTCTCCGACCTTCTGGATGGTGATCGGAGGTCCTCCAGATCCGGTATCCCTACCGAACAGAGTAATATGGTCATACTTAAGTGCCTGGGATTTCGGATCTACTACAAAGCTAGTTGTAAGGCCCAAGGGAGGCCAAATCTTTGGCTCGCTGGAATCGACCTTCCGGACCTTACTTTTTCGAGTTTCTTCCTCCAGATGCAGTGCAAACTCGTTCCGAATGGCGGATTTCAGAACGTCGCTAATGTATTTCGATAGTTCTTGGGCGGATCCGTGAAGGGACGACCGAATTTCCCCACGGATCTGCTCTTGAAGAACGCTGGCTGGAAGGCTAATGTTCTGGTCCAGCCTTCCAGCAGCACCGGAAGCCTCATCGCGAAGGGCAGCTTCCTGCGCAGGGCGCGATGACGAATCGCCGACGATTTTTTTGTTTTTTGACATGTTCATAGTCATCGGCGGTATCAGTTTTTCTCCCGAAGTTGCATGTAAAAGTCGCGAGACGTCGATGTCCCACTAGGCGTGCCAATCTGTTGTCGTCAAAAAATCACCACCAACGGCTTACTCGAAAAATCCTGTCGGAATTGATTTAATTGTAGGGTTCCCCGGCTTCCTCAAGAAAAGATCCGGGCTATCTCGTGATAACCAAAAAATTGATGAAAAAAAAAGGTAAAATAAACAAGAACGAAGCTGAAAATTAAATTGGAATTAATCGAAGAAAACTGTAAAAATCTGGAAAAAATTACTAGAAAATAATGAAGAGAAAAATTATGAAAAAAAGAAGAAGATTCATGCTGAATGGCCTCCTCTTCCTCTGGTTCTACCCTTGAATATTTATTTTGTTTTTTTGAATTATGTTTGGATAAGATATTATCCCTAATTATTCTCAACAACTCCAACCACCTTCACTTCCACCTTCTTTCATCCGTTGACTGCTTCAAATGTACCAGGCCGGCTGGGTCCTTGGGCTAGTCAGGTCCATAGGCCCACTCGCTGATCTGGACCTTCTGTTGGGCTGATAACCTCGAGGATTTGGGCTGCACTTGTATTGGGCAGGTCCAATTAATTTTGAGTGTGTACAAATACATATTTATATCAAATCATACAATTATTCCAATTCAAAATTTTTACTATTCAAATCTAACTCAAAATCCAAATTATCAAACAAACGCACCATAATTAAAAAGAATTTTTCAAAACTCCTTCATTGTAGATTTAAAAAGTTCTGAGAACTCCTTAAAATGTTGTTAGAAATTATTAAATAATATACTACAAAAAGGAGTTCTCAGAACTCCTTAAATCTACAATCAAGAAGTTCTGATAAATTTTCAATTTGTCAAAATTCGTAAAAAAAAAAAAGTTCTGGTAATTTTTACTAATTGATGTGATGTTTTGAATATAAAATTGATTTTTAGTGTAATATAAAAAATGAAAAATAGGTGTTTGATTTGATATTTTTTAGGGGAAAAAACAGAATGAATAGTGGATTGAAAATCCAATCCCCAAACAAACACACCCTAAGTGTATATATAATATATATGTACATATATTATATATGTTTTTATATGTATGTGATTGATATACGATAAAGAAAAAAAAGTGAGATAAATGCATTTATAAGTGCAAAATTCAATGCATACATCTCTTGTATTTATAGGCAATAAATGATGGTAATAATGGTTATAAAGCATCCACATCCCTTGTGCGTAGTAGATACGTGTAATACTCTCCCTTGGATGCTTCTATACAAAGAATGTGTCTCGTTAAAACCTTATTATGAAAAAACCCTATGGGAAAAAATCATAGTGAAAGAAAAAGAGTACATCATTCTTGCATTAATGCGCTCCCCCTATTTTGGACTTTATTTGATGTCTTTCAACCGACGCATTCCAATTCCTTTTATCAATTTGTTGAATGTTGCCGTCAGTAGCGCCTTCATGAATAAATCTGCAAAATTTTCAGAAGATCGAATTTGTTGCACATTAATTTCACCACTTTTTTTAAGATCGTGAGTGAAAAAGAACTTCGGAGATATGTGCTTTGTCCGATCGCCTTTAATATACCATCCTTTTAATTGAGCTATACAAGCTGCATTATCTTCAAATAATATTGTAGGAAGTAATATATTATCGGTAATCAAGCCACAATTTTTCTGAATATGGTGAGTCATGGACCTCAACCAAACGCATTCACGACTGGCTTCGTGAATTGCTAAAACCTCAATATGGTTTGAAGAAGTAGTTGTTATCGTCTGTTTAGTAGATCTCCAAGAGATCGCGATTCCACCACAAGTAAATTAATAGCCAGTTTGAGAATTTTCTTTGTGTGGATCAGAAAAATAACCAGCATCAGCATAACCGATTAATTCATTTCGAGATTCACTCAAATAAAATAGACCGAGGTCATGAGTCCCCTGAAGATAACGAAAAATGTGTTTGATATCATTACAATGGCGCTTTGTGCGGGATGCGCTAAACTTGGCCAGTAAATTTACTGGAAAAGATATATCTAGCCTGGTATAATTTGCAAGGTACATTAATGCGCCAATAGCGCTGAGATATGGTACCCCGGGGCCAAGCATTTCT